GAATACTGTCAGTAATCAAGTATATCACGAAGTTTTAAAATGGACATGCATTCTTGGTGGCTTAAAGTGCAAAGAACATATTAATGCTATATTAAGATGGCATTTTGAACATCGTATACAACACAGGTATGTTTTTTTATGTCTCTAAAAGCGAAGTGACGTCTGTATAATGTGACTTTGTTTTTGATGTATTGTATGATAATGTTACAGAACTGTTACCTGAATCTTGATACAGTAATATGATATTGTACGGACACTAAAAACTAAGAGTGATTTAGGTTTTAAATAAAAGTTGATTTATAATTCATAAAATATAAAAATTTGTACTTTACAATTACATACAGTTATATATACAGTTGTTTGAATGTGACGTCAAAAGACGTTTTGCTTCTATGATTAGAAACGTAATTGCAACTGTGACATTAGTGGTAATACATCATTACAATATCATACTAAAAGTAAAACGCTCGAGTGATAATTATGTAAGTAAAGTTATATATTTTTGTAAATACTTACAGATTGTTGCCAAGTTGGCAGAGATGGATATATTGCCAAGGATTGAAGTTAAAAATTGTAACTAATTTTATGTTGTGGCATAAAATACATAATAATTACTTGTTACAAGAGAAATTAGAACACTTTTTTCAACTTCTTCCTTGTTTCAACTTTGGATTGAATTATAGTTTGGAATCTTTGCGTTCTGCGACATATAAGTATGTAACAAAAAGTGATTCTGTTACCATTCTTTTTGATATTGTTGCAAGACATATACAAAATGTTTCTTCACTGAATATTATAATAAACGAAATAGAACATAAATATTCACCAAGGTAAACAAATTTTTCTATACATTTGTTTATCTTTATACTTTATACACATTATCAGTACATATAATTTATATTTTATGTACATATATTTTACATAGTCTATATATATTTATATTAAGTTTATTCAATTTATACATTGCGTTTAGCATGTCGTATAAAAGTATATTGTATATACTATGAAAGTTTTTGTATTAATTATTTGGTATGTATGTTTTATTTGCAAGATACATGAGTCTACTTGCTGTTGTGAATTTTAGTATTAATCACATATATTTAGAAGAAGGTTTTGAAAAGGTACATTGTGTAAACTTAATCGTTTAATGTAACTATAAATGTGAAACTTATCTTTTTTTATGAATATGTATTAATATGCATGCATGTATTACAGTTTTATTAGTAATATACAAGGTGTCCGTAAAATTTTGACACAGCCGAAGTATAGAGATAAATTGAGTCAAACTGAATAGAAAAGTTATTTGCCATTTTGGAAAATTCGCAATAGTTAATGAGATACAAAAGTAGTAAATGTGTGCCAATGAGCGCGTGAGAAGCGATGGTCCTGACTCTGGCGTAGGTGTGTGACTGTCAGAGCAACGAGAGGCGAAGTGAACAAACGAGCGCGGCGAGTGACTCGGCTGATTTCGCGGTCAGCCGATATTTGGCGCAAGGAGCGATCAGCTGACAGCGCTCGAGGGATAAGGATAAGAACTAAATCACACACGTTTACACAGTCAGAACCAACGCTTTTCACGCGCTCATTGGCACACATTTATTACTTTATATCTCAGTAACTATTGCAAATTTTGCAAAATGGCAAATAACTTTTTTATTCAGTTTGACTCAATCTATCTTCATACTTCGGCGTGGTCAAAATTTTACGGACACTTTGTATATAGTCTTTGTTTAGCATAATAAACTAATATCATGCATAATAATAAGTGTTTTTTACAAGTAATATTACATTCATTATTATTACACGGTGTTTTTAGATTCGTAAGACTGTAGTCTCACTTTATGGAAAACTGATCGACATATATAATATAGAGAAGGTAAAAGTTTTTTCTATAAATATAGAAAGAGAATTTCTGTGAATATTTTTCTTGTAGTTTTGCATTAGTTTTTATTTGTTTTAATCAAAATTTTAGTTATATTTTTTAAACTGATGTTGTTTTGGCTTTACTTTCGGTGGTTTACAAAAATATATTCTATAGCGATCTTAAACTTATGCAAAGGTATATAATACAAGATGGTATAGTAAATATATTTTGTAATTTCTTCTAGGCAAAAGTTATACTTGACGTCATTATGAAAAAAGTTGAGAATCGTCGTATGTTTGTAAATGACATGAAAAGGAACATTCGCGATGTACCTCATTATTTACTAAATTACTAAATAACCCTAATATATATGTTACGGTCTTTAAGAGTTTTTTCGTATAAGTGTAATTTTTTCTATTTAATTCTAATTAATTTAAATAGAAAATATTATTCATGTATTGCATTTAATATTGGAATTACTTTTGTATATGTAGCCTCTAACTTATTTTATGATTACAGTTTTAGTCTGTTATGATCATATTTTTGTTTTGATCATATTTGTTATTCTCAGTAACAAATATTAATTATGGTTATTAATTATGTTTAAAATCGAAAGTATAGGTATATACGGATTTTAATACATTTAATAATTCGCTAAGTAATCATAAAATAAAGTCGAGTCTTTAATAAGATAAAATAATTCTAATGTACTGTATTGTGTATTTTACACGATTGCTACTATGTATACATTTAAGTAACCAATTGTGCATAAATGAATATATAAAATACGCTATATGAAAAACACAATATGTAATAGGTATTAAAATATAAAATATAAGAAAAAGAAAACTCTATATATATATATTAAACAGTTTTATACAAGGTGTCCCGTAATGATTAGTAAATCTTGAAAGAAATGAAAGAGAGTGAAAGTTGGAATCAAAAATTTCTTTAAATAATGGTCTGAGCCAAAAGTGAAAAAAATCCTTTTGGTTTAAAATTTTACCCTTTTTTATTCCCTCCAAAGTTTACTAATCATTACGAATCACTTATAACGAATGTTACTTAATAGTAATAGTTTTTCATTTATTTAGAAAACGGTAAATGATAAGCCAGTTACAATTTATTATGTTCGTATTACAAAAAGATATGTATATCAAAAGTTTTATTTATAATAAAAATGTTTGTAAACTAAAATTGTTTGTAACTTTTCGACGATACCTCAGCTTCTACTCAATATTTTAAAGTAAATCTGCGTGGAATTATTTATATGCATATAGATGATAGAACAGTTTTTTCGCTTTCTGTTCTGTCGCTTAGAAATATAAGGCGTAAATGTATTAACTTTATTATTATTAGCTTTATTATGGTAGAATAATTTGTGTTGTTACTTACAAAAAAAAATACTCTAAATTCTATTCATGCCATTTGTTGCAGTTTTTATCTTTTTTGGTTTATCATACTACCACATTGTGTGGTTATATGCATATACTATTTATATGTATGAAAATTGCTTTACGCATTGCTTTTCATACATTTATATGTATGAAAACTGATTTACGCAAAACTAGTAGTTTTTTTTTTTTATCGATAAGTGAAAGAAAGTTGTCGCACGGCTTTGTTATCCTAGAGGTAGTTTAACATTTTTCGTAATCTGCCAAAATTTTTTTACAGTATTGTAAGCACTATTAAAGTAGTAAATTTCAAATTTCATTGCGTTTATATTCGAACAGTTTTTTGATTCTTCTAGAAATTAAAAAAGATGTTGCAAGATATTTTTGTGAAGATAACAATTCAAGTCAAAGTTTGCAATGTAAAAGTAAGTTTGTAACGTAAATTTTATTTAGGATTTATGGCAGTAAAGTAGTAAGTTTATGTATTAAGCACTATATTTTTCTCAATTTGTGAGTGATTTGAAAATAGTTACTCTACAAACTTATCTTCAGTCTACAACTTTTAATTTTCTGCCTTATGTTCCGTTATAACGGTTAAGTAAGTTCTCGAATATAATAATGACGTTCGAAAATTACATTTGATGGTTCGACGTTTATCGAATTATACCTTATAATACATCAGTATCTGACATTAAAATCATATCTAACTTATATAAACTCATATTTGACTAGTATAAAAGTTTATATGATCATACAGAGAATTATATCCGATTTACATATAATCCTATATGATCACATAATTTTCCATTTTTTTCGGGTAATTTCGTATTTATGCTTTTGTGTGTAAACCCGAGAAAAAATAAAAAATCATGTGATCATATAGGATTATACGTGGATCGGATATAATTTTGTATGATCATATAAACTTTTATATAGGTCAAATATGATTTTATATAGGTTGGATATGATTTTTAGGGGTTCGTGTAAAATCAGATCCAAAATTTGGCGCAATCTGATTTTATATGATCATATAAATATAAAAAATCATATTTTGGTAAAAACTTTTTCATATATATTTATACACAAATTACAATTATTATATCTAATTGTGCAAATTTATATGTGCCGAATATGTCCATAGAATTGTACACATGAAAAATTTTTTACCGAGAATACATGTTTATGTAAACAAAAGTAGCTACTTTTTACGTTCCTAATACTAAGAGTTCCTTCTTATAGAAAGATTAGTTTATTTTATGACAAAAATATTTAGTAAATATAATTAAAATTGGAAATATATTTTACTGATATATTTTACTATATTTAATAATGCAAGCAAGGTGTTCATAAAAGTGTGTAATATAATTAAGTGTGTATTATACTACAATATATATAATAAGATAAAATAAATTTTATATTATTATAATTTTATATTACGTAACGATATTACGATATATTTAAGTATAGCAATCTCTCTGATAGAAATTGAAATTAGAAAATGCTCATTATTTAGCTCGGCGGTATACAGTCCAAGAAATGGTCAATTTAAGTGTCTTGTTTTAAGATGTAAGTGTAACGCTTTTTTCGATCTAATTCCACCATTTAATGAATTCAATAAATATATGAATTATCAAGTCATTTCTTGACAATAAAAAATGTTCTCTCAAGTATCAAAATAAATGACTTTATTTAAAATAGTCAAATTTTTGCCATTATTTAAATATTTTAAATGGATTCATTGATTAATCAATAATAAAAGCTTTTAAATGGTCATTTTTTAACTATTAATTATCTTGTTTCATTTATTACGCCCAACAATGATTGAAAAGTAATTACATGTTGATTATAATTATCTTTACATAACCGCTATCTAAGATAGATAACTTGATAACTATTAATAAGACGATATTAAAAAGATAAATAGTTGATGATAATAAACATTAAATTGCAACTCAAAATCAAGTGATATGCCAATTAAAACTTACACTAATTCCTTTCCTCTCGATACCATTCATCAGCATTATCTAACTCAAAAGTATAATCACTGTAATGTTCATTTTCATTATTCTCATGCTTTTTATTGCTATAATTTTGTTCACTCAAATCAGTTTGTTTGTTAGAAGTGTTTGAAATTATAATTCCATCTTCATTCTCACTTTGATCAAAGTTGCAACGATATTTCCATATGTCGATCAAACTAAAAAGAAAAAGTAAGTAAAAAAAATGCTAATGCAGTAATTATTGTTTCTTTTATCCTGTAGAGATAAGATTTAGAAAGTTTTAGTAGTAACGTAACAATGTACCTATACAATCTACGTTTCTTCATTAGAGATATATAGATATTTGATTTTACCGCGTCTTCCAGCTGAATAGATAGTTCTTTATTGGGAAAATTTCAGAAGTAAGGCCGAATTTACTATTCGAGTTAATCATAATCACGCTGAAATATTTGAAATTTGGAATGAAACAATTAACATATTAATAACATTCGCAGGATTCACATGTACCATTTTGCTTTGGTATAATTTGTTATCTTTGTTAAAGAGATAACACAGATTATTTTGAAAATTAAAACGTTAAATAATCTTTCTTTGATTGAATTTTTACACTTAGTGGCTACACTTTATACTAAACTTACGTAGCGAAAAACTTCCTATTTATACGGAGTCTTATCATCTTATTTACATTATTTATTATGTAGTGTCGAGTGCAACACGAACGTCAGCGTGTCATACTGTGGCT